GTGTTAGCTTAATAGATTTGAAAACATCCGCGCAGAAGGGGGTCACTGAAAATATGTAATCATGGTGTTTCCCAGAATATATTGAGTTAGATTCCTGACATGGCTGTGACCTCTTGTGCCGTGGACACTGCCGGGGGCGGCGAGGGCAGGTCCCTTGCCCAGAGTGGTGAACCGCACCATCCAGGAAGCTCTGCGGCCCCAGGAGCCAGGCAGCCTTGGCATCTAAGGACGCATTCTGCTGGAGACTATCAGCCGCCAGTTCAGGCCAAAGGCTCCTATGAGGGAGATGTTCTCCTGAGGGCGCCCCAGAAGGTGACCCCAGCCTAGGGCCCTGGGCGCAGGGCGCTTGGCACCCTCGGGGGCCTGGCTCACCGAGATTGGGCACCCGTCCCCGTGCTCTGGAACCCTTCAGCGTGGAGCCCCAGGTCCACGTCACCATCCAGTCCCTGTCTGTCTCTCCACCTGGATTTTGCTCATTTCCCCATTTCTGTCATCAAAGTCCAAGGGAGAATGACTTTTTGCCCCCAAATAATTCAGAATCAGGGCCTGTCAAATGGGTTTGCCTAGTGAATTCTTAGTGTCTGAAGTGCAGTTAAATACAACTAAGCCTTTGTTTTTAAGGTTGGATGAGGAAATCTACTCTTTAAGATCTTTCTTTAAATTACAGTGACTATGTATTTAGAGTGATGACCCTTTCTTTCCCCATGTCTTTTGGGGTCAGCTGTTCACTCCTGTCTGGTAACATTACCAGAACCCCCTCTTGGTCTAAGGCCTGGCCCTTCCCTGCCTTGTCCACGCTGCCAGGTTGCTAAGTGATAGCTGCCTGTCCCAGTGAATACTGACCCTTCCATTAAACCCAGGCAAATTTGTTCCACTGGATATTTTCCTCCATGGACACTCTTCAGGGCCTGCCTGCTGCCTGCTGTCCTCTGTCTCCCCCAAGAATGCACAGCTGTGCACAAGCAAAAGGTTTTTTGGGAAGGCAGCTTGTATTTTGGGGTAAAGGGCTTCAGTGCTCCCTCCACAGAACTCTCTCCTGGTTGGCGACCGATAGGCAGGAAGGTGGTCATGTGGGGACCCCCAGCAGCATTCCCGAAGAGGATGCTGGTGGGACGTCTGCTTCATGCAGCCTGGAGGATGTCCCCATGGAGACCACGGCATGGGCTTCCATGTATCTGTGCCCTTATTTTTGTTTTCTTTCTGTGACCCTAGTGCAGTTGAGTCGCTGAAGGTGCTGTCCAGGAGGTGTGGGCTGGAGAAGCAGCTCCTCCTTTCCTCAAGTGTGCAATGCACTTCAGATTTGCTTAATTCCCCTCTTGCCCTCCTGGCAGAGTGCGGAGGAAGCGCAGGTCCTTGTGTGACCTGGCAGGACGGAGCAGCCCAGGTTTGGGCAGATCACAAGCCCTGCCTTGCCTTTTAGTCAAGGATATAGTGTTTGGGCTTCTAGAAGCTGAACTGACAGAAGAGAGGATTGGACAATCGAGCTTTTGTTGACAGCAATTTTCAGTGAGTGGGGACTGACCGGGGTGTAAAAGGGCTCAGGCTGAACTAACCCGCAGGCAGGGCTGAGCTGCTGCAGCTGGAAGCACGTTTCTCCTTCCTCTCCAGCCGTATGTGGACGCTTTCCGCCTGCAGTGCGCTCTGGTGGCGTGGGACACCTTGGGGCAGTCCCCTCCCACTGAGCCTGGCGACAGCTCTGCGGAGGTGCTCGGCTTCCTGGCTGCACGGCCCCTGGCTGCCCGGAGTGCCACGGCAGAGCTGTCGTCTCTGAGTTTCCACTTCTTCCCACATGTGGGTTATTTACCTGAAACCGAGCCCTTTGACTCCACATGCTGACGCTCCTCCAGCAGAAGCCTGACCTTTGGGCCAGGGTGTGAGCAGAGGCCACGTGTGGGAGCAGCACCCGGAGTGGGCAGCAGCCTGCACAGAAGCCTCACTTTCCATGCGGTGCTGATGTGGCTGGGCCAGCTGGGAGCATTTTCTGGTCTGGCAGGGACATAAAGACATAACCTTGTAATGATATTAAACTGAGGTTAAGTTGTTTTAGTTCCATTGGCGCTATACGAATGCTGCGTGTGAGGTCACGTCGGCAGAGGGTGAAACGACAGCTTTTGACTGCCGGCTGCCCGTGAGTTCCTGAGGATTCACCTGTATGTGTGCAGCCACGGGGAGCCTGCCTTTCTCCTTTGCCACGGAGGGGAGCACGCCTTGCAGATTGTTGGTGACTTGCCTTCCTTACCCTGAACTTGTCTTGGCCGCCTTCCATGTTGGGGCACAACCATCAGCTCCCCGTGCCCCGTGGGGGTGGGCCTGCTGTCACGGCAGCACCTCCCTCTCCAGGGGCGCGTTGGCCGTCTTGGTGGTTTGCTGCTTCTGGCAGGGCTGCCCAGAGGCCCTCGTGCACACTGCTGTTGTCATGGCATGCATGTCCTTTGCACACACGTGTCCCCAGGAAGCTCTCAGCCTGGTCACGCTCTGTGGCAGCTGTCGGGCTTCCAAGTGAGACACTGCCATGGCAGCCTTTGGGAGGTTGTCAGAGGAGTTAAAGTGGTGCCCTTGGAGGACCCAGGGGTCTCGGGGTGTGGCTATCAGTGTGGTGGTGAAGCAGCCTAACCGACCATGACCACGTGGGCACTGAAACATGACGACCTGAAACCGTTCCCGCGGGGTTGCCGTCTGTCTCCTTGCGGCTGTGCCTCACTGGGGTGTGTGGGTTTGGCCCTCTTGGCCCTGGGTCAGCCGAGGGTGTCTTTGTAATCTGCCGTGAGAACCTTTTTCGTGCTCTTTATTCTCTAGGAGGGTAAGATTGCCCAGATCATGATGGAAGTGCCTTAGGAGCCCTGGTGCATCAACCGCCCTGCAGGGTTGGGGAGAAAAGCCGCCGCGTGTGCAGCCGGTTGGCTTTCTGCAGCTTTCCGAGCGTCCCTTGCAGGACATGGGAGGGCCTGGCTCCCGAGTGCCAGGCTGCTCTTAGCAGAGGATCATGGAGCCATTTCCTACAATGTTCCCTCGTTACCACAGTCAGCCTGGGGTGCTCTCAGAGTCCCCACTGGGAGTGGAGCAAAGGAGAATGGGACCTGCTGCTTTTCCGTTTCATCTTTCAGACTGCTTTAGGGTTGAGGGAGTGGGCGGTGATTGCCTGGCACCCCTCGGGAGCTGGGCAGAGGCCCAGCATTTCCAGGACAGCAGGCCCACCGGCCCACCTTAGTCTTCATCTGTGTTTTGCTTCTGGGGAGGGGACACCTTCCTGGGAAGCACAGCCTGCTCCTTGATGCACCAACTCCCTCTGCAGGGAGCTTGTTTCAGGACTGAGGGCTCAGGGGACTGGACGGTGTCCTGTCTTCAGGAGCCCGTTAATACTGCTCCTTAGAAAGGAGCCAGCAGGCGAGGGCCGAGAGCTGGCTTGGCGGGACCACCTGGGGGGGCTCCCTGCGCCCTGCCCCGTTCCTTGGCAGCCCAGTGCCTCAGCTGGGGGTACCCTGCGGCGCCTTCCACAGGTGGATTCGGAAGCAGCTGGAAGGCGCTTTGCTGGGGTGTGAGCCTCAGTGGGGACAGTGGCCCTGGGTCTGGCGCGTCTGCGCTGGAGTCCTCCTTGATCTTTGTTTCTAAAGCCATGGGTCCCCTGCTTCCGGTGGCTCTTGGGCGCAGGGCACTGCTCTGCCCCTGCCTGGGCGGCGCCCCGGGGGGCCTCTGGGGCTGCCGCTCGCTGCCTCCATGCCTGCTCTCTGACCTCTGCCTGTTCCAGGGGCAGACATGGCTGTGTGGGGACCAACCAGCAGAGGCTGCAGGGGACCTAGAGCTGAGGGCCACACGAGGGTGACAGGAGGCAGGGTAAGGCCACCTGGGGGCGACCTCGACCTCTCAGGGGCCCAGCCTGTCCTGGAGTCCTACAGGGGGGTGTGGGCAGTCGGGTTGCTGTGAAGGGGGCTGTGGCAGGTGGGGCCGGGCCTGGTCCTCAGGGAGGCTGGACGGGTCGCCCAGGCCTCAGGCGGGTGGAGGGCCCCTGCCCAGCGAAGCTCCGGTCACGCCAGGGAGCCCCCAGTGTTGGCTGGGGTTGGTGGTGGCGGGTGAAGCAGATGCCGCACAGCACCCGTGAATGTGGGCCATAGATGCCAGATGCTCAGTACACGTGTTGAGTCTGGGAGGGTCCAAAGACTCAGGGGACCCCTAGGGAGCCTGTGCTGGAGAGCCTGGGGCTGCCCAGCCTTGAGGTTTGTGTGTGGCCAGGTGCAGGGCAAAGCCATGTGGACAAACATCAGCCAGTCCCCACCCAGGCTGCCCATCGGGGCCTGTGCTCAGGTGGATGGGCACCTTGGACCCTGTGGGAACTGGCCTTGATGCCACATTGTTGTGTGGCCGCTGTCCGAGGGGACCACGTGACAGGGTGGCCTGGGCTCCTCCTGGTTCTGAGCCCCACAGTAAGCAGGGCTCGGGACAGCCCAAAGCACGGGCACCCGTGGGGCTGGGGGACAGGAAGGCCAGAGGGTTGAGTGCGGGAGCGCTGCGTCTGTTGAGAAGTTTCTTCTCACCGATGAGCTAGCGGCCGACGGGGAAGCACCGGCCCAGCGGACGGCAGACCCCCCTCCTTGAAGGCAGGGGCGTGGGAGCAGATGAGAAGTGGGAACGGCAACAGGCAGGCATGGGGGGCTTTCAGTGTCCAAAGGCGTTCAGATTTCACAGGCCCACACTTAGCACCATCAGGAAGGGAAAGAAGGGGGCCTGCTCCGTGGGGAGGAAGCCGGGCGACGGGGCTGCACCCGGGTCCCTCTCGGAAGCTGCCCCGGGGGTGGTCCTGCTCAGAAGCTGTGCCCGGGGTGGTCCTGCATGCCCAGGTCTTCCACATGCTGCTGAGCGTTTGGCGGGCACCGTTGCTGTCTGGCTCCCAGCGGCACCGGCTTCAGCCTGGGAGAAACTGTCAGGCTCTGTCTGAGCCGGGCCCCGGCCTTCCTGGGCTCCCTGAGGCTGACGGTCCCATTGTGTCCCCGGGTGCTTCCTCCTAGGCCCGCCAGCGTCATCCCGCCAGGGGCGTGCCGTCCTCCAGGACTCGCCTGTGGGACCAGGGGTAAGTCCAGGCCCCAGAGGCCTGTTTCAGAATTCCAAAATCAATTATTTAAGGGCTCCTGGGGCAGGAAAGTTCTCTGCATCTTTGAAAACAGTTCGAGCCCTGCTTGCTGTCCTGGGGCGCGGAGGTGGGGTGCCGGCTGTGGGGTGGCTGGGCCTCTCTCCTCAGTGAGTTCCTAATTTGCCCTAATTTGCAGCACCGACTTTCTGTCACTGGTGCTTCCAGTGGTTCCTAATGATTTGCAGTTTGCCATCAGAGGCACATTTTAACACTTTTAAAAAAGGATGTGGTCTCTCTGGCAGTTACATCACTAACTGAGAATCTGGACCATTTTCTTTTCTTCCTGACATGCTGAGGTGCATTCACCGCTCCTCTCCCCACCACCTCTGCCAGGTTGGGGCTCCTGGAGTCACTAATGCCCAGGGCAGGGAGGCTGCAGCCCCCAAGCACCAGGAGAGCAATCGGCCAAGCAGCTGTACTGCAGGGCCCCAGCCAGCAGAGACCAGGCTTGTTGGCAGTGGTCAGACAGCAGACCCTCCACGTGCAAGGGTTTCCTGGTGGAAGGGACGCTCTGGCTTGCCTAGTGGTTGGCCGGCCAGTGCGGTTGCTCCTCAGGAGTCCTGAGCCGGTCGTGGCACTTGCCTGCGGCTCTGAGCTGGCTCCGATTGCCTGGTTTTGAATGAGGTCAGAGTTGGCTTGATTCCTGAGGACTTGCCAGCATCACCCTGGAAACTGACTTTCTAGAAAAGCTGAATAATTCAGCGTCAATGCCTGTCCCCAGAAAGTGGCTTTAATATGTTTCATGCATCTTGGAAACTGGATCAGAAGTGATGAATGTTGTATTTGCCTGAAGACACATGTTTGGGGACAGCCTTGCAGGCTTTCCTGCTGGCCGGTTCTGGCATTTTCCCTCCAGCAGTTTCCAAGTGTTTAGGGACCACTGAACCGCACGTCCCTCTTCCACAGGCAGGAAAAGCACATGGCAGTTTGTGGTTATGAGGGAAGCTGAACGGCCCTTAAAGATCTTCTCTGCCCCTTAAAGATGCTGCCAGGACCCCTCAGCTTTTCCTTTGTTACCTTTGTGTGTTGAGTCCTTCCCTCAGTACCTCCGCTGGGCCGTGTCACTGTTGACAGCAAATGTGCTGTTTATCATGCGTGCATCAGTCCCAGGGCTGAGGGCAAGTGCCTTCCGTAGGCATGGGCATGTCACCCTCCACACCAGCGTTCATTTCCTTGTACTTGTGGCATTTACAGAAGGCTTGCGTGTGGCAGGGACTGTGCCACGCCCCTTCCATGAATTCCTGCTTAGGTCTCACAGTGGTCCTGCCATTGAGGTATGGTTATTATCCCAGGTTATGTGTGAGGAGATGGAGGTAGAAAAAGGTTCGGAGACTTGCGCATGGTCGCGTGGTGGCAGTGTGAGCCCTCGCCCAGCTGTCTCTCCCCAGAGCCCGCGCTGGCCAGACCTGGGGTCAGGCAGAGGGTTGTTCAGCCCAGGGATGGACGCAAGCCCAGAGGGGCTCAGGGACCAGCCTGCCCTGCAGCTCGCGATGGGGACAGAGCCTGGCTTCCCTGGCTCTTTCCTCTTCTTCACTTGTGTTTCCTTGTTAATAGTATTTTTATTCAGTAGTACAAACTGGAAGCGATCACAGATCTCAGTAACTAAAGGGAATCAGAAACCATCTGGGTTCCGAGCAGCCGCCATCCAGGAGCTGTGGGCCTCCCTGCCTCCTGGGGCCGCACTGGCCCTGCGTCCCGCCATGGGTCTGTGCCGTGAGGGTGGGGGCCGCGTGGGGTCGTGGGGAGCGTGCACGTCTAACCCGAGCTTTCTTCCCTTCAGCTGTCACTTTCCCAGCTGGCGGCCTCCCCTCGGTCCCCAGCTCGGCGCCACTCCAGGTGCCCCTCCCAGCAGCCTCTCGGCTCTGAGCCCGCCCCGGCCCAGGCGGTGAGTACCCTGCCCCGCCGCCTCCTGTGTAAGCCTCGCACTTTGTGCGCTGTGCTGGTCTCGGCTGGGCGCCCCCGGCTTCGTGGGCTCTCTGCGACGGGGCGCGGGGACTGCAGTGGGGGTGGACCTCGCCTCGGGGATTTGCCACCAGCCTGTCCTGTTTGCCAAGGAGCATTTGGTCTGGGACCCTTCTGGGGACAGTACTTGATTGAGGCTTTTGCTCCCCTGAGAAGACAAGGTGAACCACACGAAGATCTCTGTTCACGGAAGGAGGGGGAAGGTTTCTCCAGAGCTGTGAATAGAGGCTGATCCCAGCCTCCAGCTCTCCAGGACGCTTGCTGTTCGAGGCTGAAGAACTAGTGAGGCCCACCATCTGGGATCCTGTGGGGCTAATGGGCTAAGAGAGGCCCGAGTTCTTAGAGGCCTTGGGGAGTTCACATGGAGCCTGGTCTCGAGAGCTGGCTGGTTCACCTGCAGTCTCATCTTCAGTTTTGTCCTACAAGTCTGTTAAGGAAAAAGAACTCCATTAAATCGCTTATTTGAAAGCACTCATGGTACCCTGAGATGCCTTATTCTAAAATATACCTGCGGCTCCTGTGTTTACGAAGAGACTGCATCTCTCTTAGCATTGGTGCCAGAGACACTGCTGGAGCACCCCTGATTACGTGGGACTCCTTTTGAGCTCGGGAAGCGTTCTGGGTTCCCAGACCAGCTCTTCATGTAGGTTTCCGTCTTCTGCTTTGGAGGGATGTGGGCGGTGGGATACAGGTGAGTATTCAGGTGATGTGGAGACGAGAGAGGCATTGGCACATGCCGGCAGGCCTGCATACTTCAGTGTGTCTTCAGTGTTGAAGAAAGTTTCACCTTTCTGTTCTATAAACGAGTTTGTAATGGCAATTTGCCTTCTCAGGCATCAGATATCTGTTCATAAAATTGACCAGTTCATAAAATTGGTAATACCTTCCTTGTTACATTTCAATTCATAAAATGCAGGATGCCCAGGTAAATTTGAATTTTAGTGAAAGGACAACTTTTTAGTATAAATAAGTCCCAAATATGCATGGGACATACTTACACTAAAATCATTCATTGAAATGTAGTGATTCGTTAAAATACAACTGAGCCTCTTGTATTTAATTTTGCTAAAGCTAGCAACCCGGGAGACAGGCCACAGCTCATAGGTGAGCCCCCACACCACGCATTCATGGCCGTTGCAGGTTGGGGTCCTTATTGGCCTCACCTGGGGCTGTGTTTTGCTCTGCAGGGGTTCCCTGTGGAGGGCAGGCTGTCTCATCTGGAAGTCGACCTGAGCCACATGCCCTTGGTCCCGGGAACGTGTGTGGTCGAGCAGTTGCAGGAGCTGCCATTCACACCTATGCATGCCCCGATCATCGCGGGAACCCAGACCAGGAGGTGAGGGTGGGCCTGGGAGGGCCCCCGGCAGGTGTTGCGCCATTGGGACCATTCGCCCCTTTCCTGGAGGCAGGCTGAGGCCGTCTTCCTGTTGCAGCTCTGGAAGGAAGCCCTCACGAGCCTCAATGGTGCTCCTGCAGTCCTCCGGCTTTCCTGAGATTCTGGATGCCAATAAGCAACCAGCCGAGGCTGTGAATCCTGCAGATGGTGTGAAATTCGACCCTCAAAAGGAAGAGTCAGATCGTCTACAAAGCAACGAAATCGTGCTGCAGTTTCTTGCCTTTAGCAGGTAAATTCTTAAATATTCTGTGTCACTCTATACCTGACTTTCACATTTCTTGCACTGAAGAAATGCTGTGTGGTTCTGACCTGGCAGAACTCTCTGTGTTCAGGTCTTACTGGACTGAGGAGTGCTGTTGTCCGTGTTTATTTTAGTTTGGCTGGGACTCACCCACAGCTGTTCTACAGGCCCTGCAACCTACTTGGCCTGATTTTTCTGTGGTCCTTAACTGGCCAGCTCTGAGAGCAGGGTTCTCCAGGCAGGGCTGAAATGGGGTGATGGGGAACCCTGGTGGGCTCCCCAAGATCACAGTAGAACTGTTGGTGTGGGTGACCAAGGCGGCCCCTCACCTGTGGCACCCAGGCTGTCCCCCTTGCAAAGCCCGGGTTCTCTGCTACGGACACCTGGTAACTCAGAGCTGGCGTTGTCTTCAGAGTGCCCCAGGACGGCCGGGCAGCGCCGTGGCCGCACACCGTGTACTTCACCTTCCAGTTCTACCGCTTCCCGCCCACGGTCACGCCGCGGCTGCAGCTGGTGGAGCTGGACGCGGCGGGGAAGGCCGGCTTGGGCGCCCTGTCGCGTCTCCTCGTGCCGATTGACAAGGACGGCTCCTGTGATGGCGGTAAGCACTGTGCGTCTGCAAACGCGAGAAATCCAGCACAAAGCTCTGTTTGTCAATTTTATTATTAAAAAATACTGTACAACGAAAAATGCCAACTGTAATGCTGTAAAACCTGCTTTCAGGAGCGGGATCTGAGGGAACAGTTCACCTCATCAGCGCTCCTGCCCCTCGGCTCTGACGGCTGTCAGCTGTGTCCCACCCAGGCCCCTCCACAAGCCAGACTTATTTTGAAGCAAATCCCAGACATTGTATAATTTCATCTTTACATATTTCCTTACATATACCTAAAAAATGAGTAGTCTTTGAAAAACATAGACTCAATATTATCCCACCTAATAAGTATTAGTAATTCCTTAATGTCAAATATCCAGCTCGTTAGAATTTTCTTAATAACTTCTTAAGAATTCGTAATAGTTTGCATCCAGCTCCAAGGAAGGTCTCTGCACCGGACTGCTGTGCCTCTCGAGTCTCTTTCTGTTTGCACTTGCCGCATTGCCTCCGGTTTCTGGTTTTTCATTTAATTCACTCGCTGAAGTGGCCATGGTGCTTGTCCCATGAGCTACCATGCTCTGCACTCTGGGTTTCACACCATGGGTGACAGTTAAGGCCATCCTTTTTCCCTGCTTCCCCCAGCAATTGGCTGTTGGAGCCAGAGGCACGATCAGTTGCATGCTTTTTTTGGGGGATGAAGTCCCTACACTGGCTCGCAGCGCCCTGGCCGGCTGCTGCTTTCCATGCCCCGTCAGTGGCCGCTAGGACGCTTGCTTGCACACTGCTCACCTCACTGGCGGGTGGACGGGTGACATTCTGCACAAGGACACCTTGTGCATTTGTCAGCTGGAGCGCTTCCGTGAACAAGCGTCCCCTCGTCAGACATTAGGTCGTCTTGAGGTGCTTCCTGGAGGAAAGGCAGAACATTGCTTAGTTCTTCCCTTTCATTTACTGATTTTCCAACTAATGAGATAGTTCTTAAGCATCTTCGATGGTGGGCCCAATGGCGGTTTTTATTTGGTGTCATAAACTAATGGGTTTAAACCACCGTGGACAGACACCTACCAAATATGTTGCTACTCTTGACGGGCAGCTCCATCTTCGGCTTGTCACACGGCTCATAAGGCACAGGGCTGGGACCCCAACCACGGCTGCCTCAGTGGAAAGTAACAGGTGGCAAACAACGCGTTAAAGTCACAACAAAATGGCAGTAGTTTGACAGCCTTAGCATCAGACTAAAGAGACAGAAGGCAAATGCAGTGCCAGGGGCAAAGACGCCCATTAAACAATAATCAAGAGAATAATTCCCTAGGAAAACGCACAATTCTGACTCTGAGCTCCCAGCCGACATAGCCTTAAAACACAGGGGAGAAAGTGGCGAGCCTGCAGCCGCAGGGGACTTTGGTGCCCCGCAGATCCGGCAGAAAGGACGAAGGGCGCTGCAAAACACCGCGCCGCTTCAGGAGGGGGTCCTAAAGACCTGCACGGCTGGGCTGGAGCATGTCCGATACTTTCAAGCACACTTTGAAATTTACAAACGCTGATCACTGACATATATATGTGTATATGTTAGGCCACCAAGTAAGAAGGGAATGTATAACAATTCTAATTTTACGGCATTTTCTGACCATAACACCAGCAGGTCAGAAGTCAGTGACTTCCTCCCCCTAAAAGCTCCAAACTGCTGGGTTTTTTGGACTTTAAGACATACTTTTAATTATTCCACAGCTCAACAAAGAACTCAAAACAGAAATGACTTTTTAAAACTGAATGGCAATAATATTACATATCAAAACTAATGAGATGTAAGTAACTAATTACAGGGAGATTTACAGCTTTTAATGCTTAGATTGGGCAAAAAGAAAGTATCTTTTAAAATGGTGATCTGATGGTTTAACAAGATGTTTGGGGAGAAAAAAACCACGAATCCAATAGAAGTAGAAGGAAATTAGAAAATGCTTATAATTGCTTAGAAAATAAAGGAACAGTAAGAAGGGTCAGCCAGACTGGGGTGTGAGGCTCGCGGGTGCAGGCCATGCCCCTTGCCCCTGCCCAGGGCCAGAATGAGCGGGAGAGCCTGTGCCCAGGCAGGAGTGCTGTTTGTCCAGAGCGGCTGTGGGCTGCTCGGGCCCAGGCCTTCTCTCACACTCCCGGCCGCTCGCCGGTGCTCGTTCTGAGCCGGCCGACCGTGCCACAGGCAGAGGTGGGGGCTGGACGGAGGGCCCGCCCCAGATGCTGGCGCAGAGCTGGTCTCCTTGCCTGGGGACCCTGGCGTCCTCTCTGCTGCAGGCAGATTTGAAAAGGAGAGAGGGGTTGGGTGGGCCGCTTGGGCCCCGTGCCTTCTCTCAGACTCCCGGCCACTGAGCTGGCCTTGCCGCGGGGAGGTGTGGGTGCTGGGCAGAGGCTGCCTGGAGGCCTCTCCTCTGGGAACGCATGGCCAGGCGGGTGTCCTTTGGCATCCCCAGGGTTTGCTCTCGCCTCCTGGGGTTTAACCACCGAGTCTGGGGCAGCCGAGGTGTGACCCGGCACCACTGGGGCAGTTTCCCAACCTTCCAGGGACCACTTGTCCTCAACCAAACCTCTTTCCTTTGCTGGCCCTGCTGGACCAGTGGTGGACAGTCTAGCTTGTGTCCCCAGAGGCTCTGAAATGCTTTCAAGGCTCCTCTGTACCCACTTCTGGAAATGCATTCCCTGCTCTCTTTCCCACTGGAAATTTTATCTGGTCACTTCAGCCAGTGCAGCCATTAGAGAGTCTGCAATGAGGTTAAGTGATTGAGTTGTGATAATTTAATTAAAAAGACAACCACTTAGAAAGGCTCCTGATTTGAATATAAGCCCTTTACATTGTGAATTTCTCAGAGAGAAATCAGTCCCCAAATTAAATTTCCTTGCAAGTTGAGGTCTAAGAAGTGAAACTCCAAAACCGGATTTTCTTGTCATTATGAATTAAAGTTCAGAGTTCCAAATTCGTAAGTTGAAGCCCAAACCACCTTCTTTCCAATTCCTTACACAGCTGAGTCTCAGCCAGAGGTGTCCCAGCCTGCACACCAAGCTTGGGGTCCTCAGGGCCTCAGAAGGTGCCTCAGTTCAGCACTGAGCCTCTCGTAAGCCTCACTCAAGATACCTTGTCTTTTGTTGAACTATACATACAACCATGTGTTTGGTTTCATGAGTTTTTAAAAATTAATAGTTTTTTAAGAGCGGCTTTAGGCTTATAGAGAAATTGAGCTGATGGTGCCCCTCCCCCCCACGGTGCTACTAACAGCCTGCAAGGGTGTGGGCAGTGGTTACAGTGGGTGAGCCTGTGCTGATGCATTGTGAGTAACTGAAGCTCCTGGTTCACAGCAAGGCTTATTCTTGGGGGTGTGCATCCTGTGGATGTTGACAAGTGTAAACATCATACATCCACGGGCGCGGTGTCATACAGAAAAATTTCACTACCCTAAACACCTGTTCCTCCACTACCCTGCCCTCCACCTGTTCATCCCTCCTGCCCCCCTGAACGCTTGTCCCCAGTGATCTTTTTACTGTCCCTAGAATATAGCTTTGCCTGTTCTAGGACGTTGTACTCTTGGAATTATATAGTGTATGGCTTTTTCAGACTGGCTCCTTTCACTTAGCAACGTGCATTTAAGTTCCCTCCGTCTTTCTGTGTTGCAGTAGCTCATTTCTTTTAGAGTAATACTCCATTGTCTCGACGAACCACAGTTCATTTATCCATTCACCTACTGAAGGATATCTTTGTTATTTCCACTTTTTGGCAATTATGAATAAAGCTCTTACAAACGTCTTGTTCAGGAATTCGTGTGGACAAAAGTTTTGCACTCATTTGAGTAAATATCTAGACACGTGAGTGCTGGATCGTGCAGTAGGAGTCTGTTTAGTTTTGTCAGAGACCTCCCGCCTGTCCTCCTCAGTGGCCGCACCGTGCTGCTCCCCACGAGCCGTGAGGGAGCATCCCGGCTGCCCTGTGTCCTCGCCAGCATCTGGCGTTGGCAGTGTCCCCGATCTCGGCCGTCCTGTAGGTGAGGGTGTCTCACTGTTGCTTCTGTTCGCATGTCCCTGATGACGTATGATGTGCGGTCTCTTCTCATAACTTTGTTTATTTGCTGTCTGTGTCTTTGGTGTTACATCTTTGGTGAGGTGTCTGTTCATATCTTTAGCCCATTTTTAAATTGGGTTGTTTGTTTTCTTGTTGTGTTTTAAGAGTTCTTTGACTGTTCTGGATACGAGTCCAGATATGTATTCTGCGAATTATTTCCTCCCAGTCTGTGGCCTGTCTTTTTAGATCTCTTAACAGTTCTTCTGCAGGCAAACGTTTTTAATTTTGATGACATCCAGCTTTTCAGTTCTTCCTTTCCTCAGCCACGGGTTGTGCCTTTGGTGTTGTGTCTAAAAGTCATCACCAAACCCAAGGCCACCTAGACATTGTCCCATGTCACTCTCTGTAGGGGTGTTACAGAGCCGCATTCTGCATTTAGGGCTGTGATCCATTTTGAGTCATTTTTACAGAAGAGGTAATTTTTACAAAGTGGACACATCTGTGTGGCCACCACCCACTGCAGGTAGGGCTGGAGAAGCTGGCACAGGGCCCCCCATGGCCCTCTTGTTAACTTCCCCAGGGTAGCTGCTCTATTCAGTGCTGTCACTGTAGGCAGTTGGCTGGCTTTTTAGGACTTAAGATACATTGAATGCACCCTTTTGAATCTAACTTCTGCTCGGCATTCTGTCTGGGAGTCAGCACGGTGCTGTACAGCAGCAGTTGGTCCTTTATCTCAGCTGTGTAGAAGTTCACCGTCTGAGTCCCATGGTATTGATCTGCTCTGGTTCGTAGGCGTCAGATGCTTCCAGCTCTTGGCCCTTTGCCCTCTTGGCGCGTGTGTGCGGTGTTTGTGCTGGGTGTGGCCTGGCAGTGGAATTGTGCCGGAAGCCTCTGTAAATTCGCCAAGCAGTTTCCCCACTAGTTCATACACCCACCATGGTAAGTTTGGTCCAGCAGAGAAAACTGC